AAGTGTCTGCCTTCAGCTCAGGTCATGATCCCAGGGTCCTGGGATCAAGCCCCACATCAGGCTCCTGGCTCAGCAGGGAGCCTGCTTCTCCCTCTCTGTCTGCCTCTCCCCCTGCTCATGCTCTCTCTTTCTGTCTGTATCTCTGTGTCTCAAATGAATAAATAAAATCTTTAAAAAAAAAAAGAACCCAAATTAACTACAATTTACCATCCAAGCCTTCCACTGGAAACTGAAAGCTTTCAACAGACTCCAGAGTTCCAAAATAGTTGTATCAGACAGATTCTGCCAAAGCAACTGTAGTCTAGATGGAGAGACAGATTCCTGGTGCTTCCAATTCTTCCATCTTCCCACTGTTTGCCATGTTTTTTTTTTTTTTAAACTTAGATCAGCAGTTCTAACTACCAAATTAAAGGGAACTCATGGGGCAAAGGAACATGTTAAATGACACCACATGTATACAATCAGCAAAATCCAGGCTGTGGGAACTCTGTATGACCTGGCTTTGTTAAAAATTATGATTAGAGAAAAAAAAAAAAAGAGGTGAAGCTATAACTTAAAAGAGACTTAAAAACACAAAATCAAATGCAATGTGTGGACCTCACTTGGAAGCTGACTTGAAAAACCAGGAAAAATATTTTTATGAGACAAGAAAGGAAATCTATTAATCGACTGGCTATTTAACCGTAATAGGTATTTTAAATTCTATCTGACACAAGAACTGAAACCATGTATTTCAACGTGGCGATGGTTTGTTCCAAGAAAGTCTTGCCTAGAAGAAAAATCTGTAAAAGCTCACTTATCAGACAACAGCTTGCTTATCAAGACTGTTTCAAGACCCTCATTTTGTTGTGTTCACCAATCCTAAACTATTGTATCACAATCCTTGCCTAATCCTGGCCAGTTTCTTGGTATGAAGAGCCTGCCTCAAACAGCCTTCCTTGATTTTCCCTTTTGTGGTACCGCTGAGATTTTGGTGGTCTCTGTTAGAGAGTCAACTATTAACAGGTATAATAAATTTTTTTGTGTCGTGTTTAGTAAGAAAAGGGGAGGCTTATCTCCTTGAAGAAATATACTGAAGGATTTACATATTTTAGAAGATTTTACTTATTTATTTGAGAAAGAGAAACGAGCAGGGGGAGAGGGGAGAGGCAGGGAGAGAGGGAGAAGCAGACTCCCCGCTGAGCAGGGAGCCCCACCCAGGTAGATCCCAGGACCCCCTCCCCCGCCCAGATGATGACCTGAGCAGAAGGCAGATGCTGAACCAACTGAGCCACCCAGGCGCCCCCTGATGGATTTACATATAAAATGCAAGTAAGACTGAGATTTGCTTCAATATAGTAGGGGACAGAGAATGGGTGGGGCATAGAAAAAATGAAATTGACCATAAGGTGATAATTTTTGAAGCTTGTTGGTAGGTTGGTAGCTACCTGGGGTTTCCTACACGATTTTTGTCTACTTATGTACATGTTTGAAATTGCCCATAATAAAAGGTGTTTTTTTTTTAAGTGTGCTACTCAGACCACAACATTGGAGTTATGCTTAATCATCCTCTCTTCCTCTCTTGTGCTATATCCAATCCATTAGCATATCCTACCTATATTCAAAATTCCTCTAGAATCTGACCATTTCTCATTACCTCCACTGCCACTTCCCTGTCCAAACACCACCGTTCCCACCTTGATTCCTGCAATAGCCAACGGTTCAATGCTTCAGCCTTTGCCCTCCCTGATCCCCATTCTATTCTCAACACAGCAGCCAGAGTGATTCTTTTCAAAAATAAGTCTAAAAGCTCTTCTCAAAACCTTGCAATGGCTCTCCATCGCACTCAGAGTCAAAGTCAAAGTTCTTACAAAGGTCTACAAGGTCCTACACTCTCTGTCCCACTTCTTGATCTCTCAGACCTCATCTCCTACGACACATCCTTTGGGTCAGTCCAGTCACACTGGCCTCCTTCTGGTTTCACCAATGCACCAGGCACGCTCCCACCTCAGGACATTTGCATTTACCGTTCCTTCTGATCTAGGGTGCCACTTCTTTCAGGTCTTTACACAAAAGTCCCCTTCTCAATGAAACCTTCTCTGACTGCCCCTATTACAACTGCAGCCATCCCCTCCCCACCCAGGCATTCCCTTTTCCCCACCTTTTTTCTCTCCTGTACTTATCACCATCATATGTCATACTTGTTTATAGTCTTGTCTCCCTCCTTAGAAAAATAAGTCCCACAAAAGCAGGGATTTCTGTCTGTTCTGTTCCCTCCTATAGACCCAGTGACTAAAACAGTGCCTGGAACAGAACAGGTGCCCAGTAACTATTCATTCTATGACTTTGGTCACTAGTGTTTTCCATACAGTGCCCTCCGCCACCGCACTATTCCTCCAGGGTTCAAACTTAGGTGTTAGGTCCAAATGGGATAATTAGGAAAGAAAATCTTGATTTTTTTTAAAAAAAAAATTATCCTAAGGGAAGAGAAGTAGGGTCCTAGCACAGCAGTCTATGTAAATGATGCACCGCGGGGCAGCATCTGTGAACGGTGCTTCTGGGGTGAGGGCCGCCAATGGATCCAGGCCCTTAGACAATGGCATTACCGGTAAATCATCCCAGTGTGCTGGGAGACTGGAAATAATGTTCAATTTCTCTTCCTAGGAACCCAAGAAATGCAAAAACAATGTTACTTTGGCAGCTTTACAAACAAGGGAAGGAAATGGAAATGAGCAAACTTTGTTCAGGACAAACTTTCAATGCAGTGTTTGATTTTCTGTGTGTCTCAGACAAATGACTCCAATTTCTGACTTTTTAAAAATACTGAAAATAATCATATCATGGAATCAAAATATACCAGTACGCACTTTGGAAAAACTGTTTGGTAGTACCTGCTAGGACTCTATCTATGTATGCCTTATGACCTACCAATCCCACATCTGGATATTTACCCAAGAAAAGTGATTGCATATATCCACATACAAGAATGCTCCTGGCAGCTCTATTCATAAAAGCTCAAAACTAGAAATAGCCCAACTGTCCACCAACAATAGACTTGGGAAATAAATGTGGCATAGTCACAAAATGAAATGCTTTACAGTGATGTTTAAAAGTAACAATCCTGCTGCATGCAACAATATGGTGGACTCTCATGACATAATGCTGAGTGAAAGAAGCCAATGACAGAAGAATATAAATTGTACGATTCCTTTTATATAAATATCAGGAACGGGCAAACCTAACTTGCGGTGAGAGAAATCAGAAAGTGGTTAGCTCTGGATGGTGCTGACTGAAGGGGGCACATGGGAACCTTCTAGAACGTTAGAATATTCTATATCTTGACCAAGGTGGTTGTTACATATACATTCACGTGTATAAGTTCATAGATACATATGCATATATACAAATTCATTGAGCTGTACACCTAAGTTTTGTGCTCTAAGTTATACCCCAATAAAAAAGTTAAAATTCTTAAAGATTTTAAATAAAATAGAATAAATAACGTGTGTCAGTACTTTCAAGACCTGCAATACCAGAATGCAGGGCTGGTGGCCAGTGGAATGTACACATGGAGAATGGGGCCAGGTTCTCAGTTTCCCCCTCTCGCCACAAGGTGGCTCTCTCCCCTCTCTCAAGTCTTCCCCAGTCCTCTGGGAAAACTCAGGAAATGTCCCAGGAAGCAGAGGGTTGTGTGCTCCTGGGCACTTTGGACAGCCTGAGCCCCAGACTAAAAATACTGTGTAATGACGCCGGCCTCACTACAGAAGAGTGTAGCCCTTTTAAGGCAAAGACTTGAATCCCAGTTCTGCCATTTCCTAGCTGTGTGACCTTGGGACTGTTCCTTAACTTCTCTATGCCTCAGTTTCCACATCTGTACAGTGGAAATAATAATAGTACATACCTTGTGATGTGGTTGTTGGTGGTGGTGGTGCTGTTGTTGTTAGCGTGAAATGAGTTCACCCTTAGGAAACTCTCAGAACACCACCTGTCAGAGAAGAAGAGCTCAATGTCATTATCTGAGTTAGTATTAAGAGAGGAAATGTCAGTAACTGAAAGAGGAACACCTGGCATCTCACTTCTTCTGGGGGCCAAGCAGGTATTAGAAAGCTGATGAGCTGGAGATGAAAAGAGCCTGTTCTGGCTTCTATGTTCTTTTCTAGAACCTATGTTCTTTTCTAGAAACTTCTATGTTCTTTTCTAGAACCTGACGGCCCAAAGGGTTTCGCCAGTCTTTCTGTAGCTTTCAGAGCTCTGTACCTCAATGCGGGGAGGCAGAATAATGGTCCCCTCCCCCAAAGATTTCTACAGCCTCGTCCCCCGGGCCTGTGAATATGTTACCTTACCTGGCAAAAGTGACCTTGTAGTGACCTCATGAGTACCCTGAGATGGGGAGGTTATCCTGGATTACACCAGGCAAGAAGGACAGACGCAGGAGGATCAGAGTCACAGAAGCAGAAATGAGAACAAAAGCAGAAGTCAGAGTAGCTTGGCTAGGAGCCAAGGAATGCAGGCAGCCTCTGGAAGCTGGAAAACTCAAGGAGGGGATTCTCCCCTAAGAGCCTCTGTAAGAACTGTAGGGACAAACGGCGCGCCGCCCCAAGATGCGCCAATTTGGCATAAAGGCTTTTTGAGTTAAAAAAGCAATCGAAGGGCTCCTGGGTGGCTCAGTCAGTTGAGCATCCAACTCTTGATTTCGGCTCAGGTCATGATCTCAGGGTCGTGGGACTGAGCCCCTCACTGGACTCCCGAGAGCGAAGAGTCTGCTTGAGGTTCTCTCTCTCCCTCTCCCTCTGCCCCTCCTCATCGCTCACGCACGTGCTGTCTTTCAAATAAATACAATCTAAAAAAAAAAAGCAATCGAAACCCAGCAGATGCAGGAAAAGCTCTGTCACCACCACCCCCCCCCCCAACTCAATCTAAAAGAATTTAGATAGGGGACCTGCCCTGGGAAGAGAGCCATCACCATAGGTAACTACATTATGATATGAACTAGGCATATGGTACACAGCGGGGATCCTAGCAAGGCCACTCTGATCAAAGTCCTCCCTTTATCCCCTTGTGTCTGAGTGGCCCGGCAAACATTTGTTTACCAAACATTTGTTTTTCATCTTTGTGTAAACTGTATTCCTTTCCTCTGAAGTTCCAGCCACCCACCCACTTCCCCATCCAGAAGGACATAGAGACCTCTTTTTGCCTGAGTGTCTGGAATTTCCTTGTCTGTGTGGATCCCCCGTGTGTACACCCATGAAATATGATTTCCTCCTGTTAACCTGTCTCGTGTCAACTGGATTCTCAGTCCAGCTAGAAGGACCTTGAAGGGGACAGGAGTTCCGGCTCCCTGACAAAACACGGTCTTTGATGTTAGCCCTGTAAGACCTACTTCAGGTTTCTGACCTCCAGAAACTATAAGATAATAGGCGGATAATAGGTGTGTGTTGGTTTCAGCCGCTAAACTTGTGGTCACTTGGTACAGCAGCAACTGGAAACGCACACACTCAACTCCACGCAGTGTCTGGGCAACTTGCGGGTGTCTGCCGTTGTGACGTGATTTTGGAGTAGTGTTGTTGGGGTCCGGGGCCAATGGCCGAGAAAGAATTCTTAAGACTTGAGATGTCTTTGGTACAAAAAGGTGGTTTTATTAAAGCAAGGGGCAGAAAGAGCTGCTGCCTCAGCATTGTGAGGAGCAACTGATTCTACATTTCAGAGTTGAGGGAGGTAAAGACAAAGGGAAGTTCCAAAAGGACTTTCATACGCTAAAGAAGACTCACAGGATCCTGGAAGCCTTGCTGTTGTCAAACTAAGGTGGTTTTTCCCTCTAGCAAAGCATTAACATTAAGACAGTTGGGAGTTTCCGGGAGGAACATTATACTCTGCCTGCCTCAAGTATTTGTCAATGGGCTGCAGGTTATAAGGACATTTAATCTTACCAACATTTCCCTCTGTCTTTGTTTCCCACATCAGTTGTACATCTTAATTTCCTTCATCTATTTAAACAGGACAGGCAGGGGCGCCTGGGGGGCTCAGTCGGTTAAGCAGCTGCCTTTGGCTCAGGCCATGATCTCAGGGTCCTGGGATTGAGCCCCACATTGGGCTCCTTGCTCAGCGAGGAAGCTGCCTCTCCCTCTGCCTCTGCCCCTCCCCCTGCTTGTGCTCACTCTCAAATAAATAATAAAATAAACAAATAAACAGATAGGACACCCGATCTCATGGTTCAACATTCAGTAAGTACACACAACCACCTTAGCTGAACCCATTCACACCCTTGGACCCCGCACTGCCACTTCTGCCTACATATTTGACAGAAATGCACAGGTGTGTCCACCCAAGGACCTTGACAAGAATGTTCCTAGCAGCACTATCTGTCATTGCCAAACACTGGAAGTGACCCAAATGCCTGTCAGCAGCAGAATAGATAAATAAATACACTCATCATTTCCTACACAGCCACCTCGGGCCCTGAATCTGCCCTTCTCAGTGCTCACAGCAGGAAGGAGCACCTGGAAGACTCTGATCACCCCCACCCCCCAGTAAGTACGTATAATATCAACAGTCAGTATTTGGGGATGTCTACGAGCACAGAGGGGTTGAAGCACTGTCCATGTGTCAACTGATCTCATCCTCACAGCAACACTCTAAGGTCAGGGCTTTTATTATCCCCATTGTACAGATGGGGAAACCGAGGCACGGGACATCTAAATAAGACACCAAGGCATGCTTGCTAGTGCAGAACGAGGATTCGAACCCAAGCAGTGTGGCTCTACTATAGGAGTAGGAGACGTAGAAAGTCACAAGTGGACGTGGCCTGGGAGCGGCAAGCTTGTCCCCTCACAGCTGGGACACATGCAACTCTCGGGTCCCAAACTGCAAGGGGTCGGCGGCCTCGAGACTCTGTCTGGCAGCACTTTCTAATCCTTGGGCTGGCCCTACAAGGGAGCAGCCTTCCCAGGAGGTTGGTGGGCCCAGGCTGAGGGTGCCGGAGTGTGGGGCTGATCATGTCCTTTCCAGCTCCAAACTGGGTGACAGGACACTTGCTCCTGGTCTGATGGCCAGTGCTGGGGAAGCCCTTAGGGGCACTGTGGAGGGCACGGCGGTGGAGGTGGGGGAGTCAGGAGTAACTTCGACATTGCAAAAGCCCAACACTTGAACCCGGTCCTTAGCTCTGGGCCAGAATACCACCTCTGAGTGGCCAGGATGTACTGGTCGTCCCCCTCTGTTCCTAGACCAAGGACCAGAAAAACTGAGTTCTGATTGGTAAAACACAGGGAAGTTGATGAACACTCCAAAGGCATCATGAGGAACAATACCTCTTCCAACGGTGGAAGACGGGGTTTGGGTTTGCCGGATCAGCTGTAAAAGCTTCACTGTTTTTACAGGCATGAGCCTCTCAAAGGCTGTGAGCCCTGAGGACAGGGAGGCCACTCCAGGACACCAGGAACCAGGAGCCACCCACACACAGAGTTACTGGAAGAATGACTGCTCCCGTCTGCGTACTGCAGAGACAGGCCCCCGTGCCAGGACGGCTGTCTCTAATCTGCTGGTGACAGCCCAGCCAGCCTCACTTTGCCCGGGGAGGGTCTAGAACTGTCTGGGTCCAATTATTTTTATAAGCAGCAAAAGTCCTGGGAAACTGGCTTGTGCAAACCACTAAATTTCTCTCACTTGTAAACTGGAGATAATCATCGTTCTGGCTGTGACAATTAAGCGGCCTCCTCTTGTCACGTGCAAGAGCCAGGCGGGGAGACAGGTCTGCGAGGCCTGAAGCTTGCATAAGAGCTAGGAGGGAAGGTGTTGGAATTAACTCAAAAGATCTTGGGAGGAGGGGGTGCGCCTGGCTGGCTCAGTCGTGGAGCATGAAACTCTTGATCTCGGGGTTGTGGTTCCGAGCCCCATGTTGTCTACACCCCTGGTTGGGAGTAGAGATGACTTAAAAAAAAACAAAAAACAAAAGATCTTGGGATACATAAAACCCTCGCCTGCACCTTTACTTACAAACGAATTCTTCATTGAGCTAAAGACAAAAATCAAGGAAAACCTAGATTGATGTACATTTGATAGATCAAAATTAACTAATCTAGATTAAAAACCCTGGGGGACGCCTGGCAGGCTCAGTCAGAAAAGCACGTGACTCTTGATCTTGGGGTTTTGAGTTTGAGCCCCACGTTGGGTGTAGAGAGGACTTAAAAAATAAATAAATAAATAGGGGCGCCTGGGTGGCTCAGTCGTTAAGCGTCTGCCTTCGGCTCAGGTCATGATCCCAGGGTCCTGGGATCGAGCCCCATATCGGGCTCCC